GCATCCGCCGCTCCACAGCGGCACAAGATGCGGCTGGGCTGGCACCGCGGCACGCTGGCCGGCGCCGTGACGGCATCGGCCCAGGGCGGAGAGGCCGAAGGCGCTGGGCTGCTCTGCCGTCCAAACGCCGCATTCACATGGCTAACTCATCCGCGCAAATCCGGGGCGGCGCCACAAGTGTCGAGGTGGAGTTTCTTAGTTTCCGGACGAGAGGGGAGAATCCCATTTGAAGACAAGGTCGGGTTGAAATGAAGGCAATCTTCTCTTTCCGCAACAAGTACGATTAAACGCTAGAGACGTTATGGATATATATCATATATATATATTATATATATATATATATATAAATATATATGACTATATATAGTATAGCTCGGAGGCGCACACTCACGTTTGATGACCCCAGCTGGGAAAGAATTAAATTGTCTCTACCGGGACAGAATTATTCCAAATTATTCCTTTTCGAGGAATAAATCATAGTAATCAAACATTAAAAAGAGGCTCCTCGAAAAGGAATAATTTGGAATAATTTTGTCCCGGTAGAGACAATTTAACACTTTCCCACCTGGGGTCATCAAACGTGTGTGTGTGTGTGTGTGTGTGTGTGTGGAGGGGATCCTAGGCATTCCCTCTCATCAATTCGCACGCTGTTGGGCGATTCCGTGAGCACATGTGAGTCCTCAACTTGCTCTACTGGTATGTTCAGGTTCCGATCTCGACAGCGACCAATTTTCATCAGCAAAGAACGTACTTGGCTGTGTGGATCGAAGGCAGCCACTGCATGGATAATACGACTAGATGGCGGCTGCTCAGTTGTTCTCGGATCAATAACATACATTAAATAATAGTAAAGGTGGTGCTTCAGCATCCGTCATTGGTTAATTGTTTAAACCTTGGTCACGAACCAAGCATGGTCCGCCCATGAGACTCCGCCAGTCCACGTGCGCGTATGTCAGGCAAGGCCACTAGCCTGCAGCACCACCAGAAAGGAAAAGGACCATCCTATATTGCGGAGCCAGAATCCGAATTTTTGTTTCAAGACCTTGAGTTGATTTCTTGACGACCCTTTTGAGAATGTGAATATATATGTCCTCCTCTTGCGCTGGATATTTTCTACATTACTTTGCTGCGAAATTCTGCACGGGTCCCAAAATATCGCGACATACACCGGTCGCACTAATGATATATCAGCTAACTCTTTCCCTCTCACTGTGCTTTTCTTTCGGTACCGAAATGTAGAGCTCTCCAGGCTTTCCCCACAACGAAATTTACTTCACTTTCCCATGACAATTTACTGTCTAATGTATTTCTAAGTATCTGCAAGACGTGACTGTAGGTACGATATTGCAGTTCAATTTGTACTCAGTTTCGTCATAACTACCAAACCAAACGTGATGGCTTTGCTCTTTGAACGATTTATTTCCATGCCGTTTGTTTCTGCCCGGGAGTGTAATTTGTCTGTGCAAAATATCTACACCCTCTTCTGATTTGATAACCCGTATAGATCACGCACGTCGAACTGCGCCCGCACGAGTTTCTTGCCCGCCTGGGAAGTCCTGCGCTCCTACTGGCACAGGCGATTTCTCCTGCCTCTGCACTTATTTTCCCTCAAAATCCAGAAAGGGGAGAACATGCACAAGTTGAAGCGGCGCCAGGCACTGAAAAGTGGCTTTATACGAGAATATGTTTGCCAGATTTTTTCTGTCAAATAAACGTCAACTGTAGTACATTCTTTTAAATCTCGCGCCAATTTCTCTGGACGCAGTGCCGGCGAGCTCTAGTAAGCTTGGAACCTTGCCCGCCTACTATACCGACCTTGACATGCCCACTATAGATAATACATCGGGAAAGTCTTACATTAGTCACGAGTTTAAAGACGTATCGACCCCTAGAATGGACCCAGACCGACTGAGGAAGGGAGGAGCTCCGACTTTACTTCCCCTTCTTACTTTCTCCCTACTCGGTAGAGAGAAAGTTATGTTAATGAGTTAATAATGTTATGTATAAGTAATGTTGCGCGACAAAAACGACGAATTTTCGGCAGAAAAACTTTTGTTAAAGGGCTCTAGAAACTTCCATAAATCCAGTTTCTAAATTTAGAAAAAAAAATCCTAGTGGCGTAGTCAGAATCCATGTTCTGTGGGTTCTTGATACTGAAAAATCGAATGACGGCAAAACGCCTGTCTGTCTCTGAACAATGCTAGCGGCTAAAACGTTCAGCAGATTTTCTCCAAAATTGCGGCCCCTTGAACTTGGAACAGATATTTTAATATTTATGGTTACTGTACATGAAGCCCTAGTGACATTTTCCAAATAAAAACTAGTGGTGCAACAGAATAGTACACTTTCCCGTATTAGTTTTCTATTTCCTATAGTCTCTGTTAGCTACTAGCACTTGCTCTTGCCGCCCCAAGTACATTTATTTGAAAATTTCTCTATTTTTAGGTATCCTAATTATAGAGTAAAAATATTATTTTAAGTTTATTAAAAAATAGTAAAACCTTGTTCAAATGCCTATTTCCTTTCAAAACTTTGGAGCCATTTTAAAAAATCTAGCGTTTAAGCGCTGCTATGAATTCGAATTTTGAAGCTCCTTTTCACAGAAAATTTTTCAGTTTTCGAAACTTCATCTGAAGTCATTTTAAGTACTGTACCTCACAAATACAACAGTGTTTACAAATAGCTGGAAATGCGCATTTGAACAGAATGAGAGTTCTTTCAAAATATTTACATTTGTATAATTAAACACACACACACACACACACCGAAATGGAATACTCTTTTGGATATACCAGATTTGGTGCCCCATCTCCAAGCTCTCCCCTTAAGACATTGAACAGTTTTGGCACTGACCAGCAGCAGTAGCATCATCAGCAGGATTCAAGACTGATTCTCTTCTCAATCAAGGAATCTCTCAGTACTGAAGAATGTGTTTTGAACTGGCGTTCATTAATTAATTTAGTTGCATGATTAAATTAATCCCTTGCCCTCCTCTAAGCAAAGCATGGCCAATTTTCCCATCCAGAACCATGAAAGAAAGGCATTTTAGTGAGTACCACATCTTAACTTGTATATGATAACATTTGGTTCATTTTATAAAATAAATTGAGCACCTCTAGGTTAACTCTTAATAATTAGAATTTTAGTCATACTTTGTGGCAGTAATAGCACTAGAACACCTAATTCCATCATTTTGACAGCTATATCATAATAGAGTATGGTTTTCATTCTAACAATGAGCAGTAAGGCACTGGATTCTCATGACTTAATGTATTTATGAAGAAGACATTACGTGAAATTTTCATTGGTCACAAGTCATTTTATTGTATGCCTTAAATGCCCAGACACCATCAAAATGACGGCTTGAGCAAATGCTGAGCTGTGTGTTTTTTGGACAGCCTTGTTTGAATATCTGATTGATTTCTGAGAAATCACACATGTTGTTTTAGAGGAAAAATATTTTCAAATGAATGACTGAAGAATTGATATTTGAAGTAATAGCATTATTGTTGTAGTTATCTAGCTATGAAGTACAAGAAGGTGAGCGAGAAGGTTTCCAAATATCCTGCCAAAGACTATTTACATTGAATTAGATCTTTTTTTTCCTTTCAATGATGTGCTTACTACAGCATTTTAGAATTCTGTGTAGCTTATGCACCAAAGAAAATTTCAGTTGATTACACAACATACTTGATGATTCAGAAGAAAAATATTGCATTTTAACAACAAAATAAAAATACTTTCAGGCTTTCATAGCCTTCTCACTAAAAAATGTTCTAATGTGCATCAACAAGCAAGGAACTGTAACCATTGGTACTATCCGCTATGGAAAGTTTTTAGAAACAATTAGAGATAGAACAACGGAAAATTCAGGGTAACCCTTGTGTCAATCACATTTGTCTGCACTCCTGTGTTTGTAAATATTATTGTAAAAAATGGCCAAGCAATTGTTTTTCAAACATATCGGGTTTTGAAATAATATTTTGTTGGGTCACCAATGAAGTCACCCGAAAAATTTTACAAATAAAGCATTTTAAAATGTGTAGAGGAACAGGGATTTTCATAAGCAGAATATTGGAAAATGACAGAAGGAAAAAAAAAAAAAAAAAAAAAGAAGCCTGGGTTAAATACAAATGATGAGAAAAACCTTATCAATTTTGAGTCAGAGTATGTCACAGATCAAAACAAGTGTATGATCTGTTACACACGAGTGGGCACTTACATAGCACATGAGTAAATTTTTTCTCTCCTAAGTTTAGTTTTTATTTTAGGCTTCTAACAAATGCAATTAGTGGAACGGGTGAAAAAATATTAGTTTATCTACTCTTTAGTAAAAAATTAAATTCCCACAATTGCCCTTGAAATACAATGCAAACAAAATGATTATTCATAGCCATTCTCTGTAAGTCCAAAACATGGGCGTTCTATGGAGTTTTCGTTGATCTAATGTATGTTACAGTTCATGACTATTTTATGCTGCATGTCCAAGGTGAACATCAAATAGTGAAGCACACTAAGCAAATGTTTAGAACTACTAATTATCTTTAAACAAACTTATGAGTTAATTTCTGAAAAATATTTCAATATCAAATGATTAATATGGAAAAGTTTTGCAATTTTTTTCTTATTAATTTTGATAACAGGTTCATCAAGCTTTAGGACCCTTAAGGTATTAATCTTGTTCTACACATATCCCATTTATCTATCAAAAAAGTCCACATCGAACTTCCAAAACAGAGGTGGATACTGCAATTTTGAGGTTACATTCTAGGCCAAATATTAAAATAATTTTAACACAATCATATCAATTTCAAAACATTAGTCATATTGTCTGAATAATATCTCCACCTACTTGGCAGCTGACATGGGAGAGAGAGAGAGCTTTCATCCAATCTGAGTCATCAAATTGAAACAACAACATTGCAAAGTTACCAATGCTTATGAAGAAGAAAAATGAAAACTTACAGCAGTGAAGCAACTGAAAATTGATGGTGTCATCTGGCACCTTTAATTGTTTGGTTATGCTCCCATTACAATTTATTTCTTGCGGCTGCGGTTGTGATCTGATGCAAGAATGCCACATGACCATGCGTCTGCCATCAGAGTAAGAGGCAACCTTGCTTTACCCCACTACCAGCTGTCGAGTAGACAGAAATATTATTTGGACAGTAGGAAAGGAAAAATATCAAAACACCATTCTCAATGGAACACTGGTTGAAGTTTATTACTCATTCTCTCAACAAAAATACCACAAATATACAACTATTTTGCAACGTAATTCATCCACACATTAAAATTGGTAATTTAATAAACCCCTTCACCTTCAATGGTGGCAGCAGTGCTGAGGTCAACCCAACAGCTCTGAACAGAGTGAACAGAGGAAACAATGAGCATATACGCCCATTAAAAAGCAGACTCTTGTTTAATTGTACCGTACAGTCCCTTATTTTACACTTTCAAAAATACACATTACATTTCGTTGAGAACTACTTCAATTTGTTTTTTCTAAACAAACATAATTTTATCTTTATTCCTTGCACCACTCGTTTTAAGGAATATTTTATCTATGGAATCAAATACTTCTGCTGCAGCTTTGGAAGCATCAATACGATAGTGGACACCTGCAAAATCATATGCATTCATTATATGTGCAAATTAAAAGATCTTGATTAATTTCACTTGTCAAACTATTAATTAAGCAATAATAAAAATAATTGTTTTAAAAGCTATTAAGTGTCTGTTATATACCTTTCTTTGTATAATAATCCACCAAAGGAGAGGTCTGTTTATGATATGCATCTAAGCGAGTTTTCAGTGCATCAACATTGTCGTCAGCACGACGAATCAGAGGTTCTCCAGTAAACTAGCAAAGAGAGAAAAAAACTGTCATTAGAAGATTTATAGAAGCATCAAGAGAACAGTAATTTACATTCTAATGGTTAAGCATCGACTCTAGATTTTCTCCAAAATCACAATAGTTATATTAGTTTTCAGGGAGATAACTAATTGAACTGATCAGGAATGATCTGTATATTTCAATAATCTATGTTCATATAGATATTTCCTCAGATTTCAGTGAGCAAAGCACCATCTCTCACCAATGATCATTATTTTTTCTCTATAAGGACTTCTCCCAGCGTTTAGAATTGATATTCATTTTGTTCTAAATCTGAAGCCAATTTTTCACCCGAGAGCATCAAACACTGGCTTTTCATTATTCTTCGAGAGCATCATAATACAAAACTGTTCAACAATTGTTTCACAGAACGATACATCTTTATTTGAAGAATGATAATTAGAAATAAAAGGAGCACATACTTTCTTGCATTAATTTGCATTTTCCGAAAATTAATAGAGTTCAATGAGAATGAAACCTGCGCCACTTTCAATTAAGCATTTCATAATCTGAATATAGAAAAAAAAAATTGAAGCAATGTTTTGAAAAAATGCGTTCAATAAATTGCATTATTTTCAAGCCAAAAATAAGAGAACACTACTAGTATTTTTTCAACAAATTGCAAATTACCTTTTTAAAGAGCTAAGTCCAAATTCTGTATCATCAATTTCGTAGTTCCAAAATGTTAACCCTTCGCAATTTTCAAAAATACAGTTTGCCAGAAACGAGACTAGCACCACCTTTCTCTTTTGATAGATATGAAGAGAAAGATTTCAAAAGAAAATTGGGCATATTTATAAGAGAAAAATTGTTTAAAAGTTGCCTATATTTCACGAAAAATTTCAAGAGAACTAAAAATATTTTCGAAAATTTGTACATGACCCTTTTTTAAGATTTGTCTTTTACACCAGATTTCATTTAAATAAAAATCTTTATCTTCAATATTGTAGTCATAAGAAGATGCCAAAAACAATTTCGAACTTATGGAAAAAAGATCAATTTTAAAAACATTATTTTCAGGGTCATTTACACTATCCAAAGACAAAGTTCAATAAATAAATTCAAAAAAACAGGTCAGTTGTGAGAAAATTTTGAAAATGTTTTTAGGTTTCATGTAAAAAACCATCTGCCAAACATCAAAATATCTAAACAAACTCTGAGGGCCCCGAGTTCATTAAATCGATCAACAACTTTGGACAAAAATCGGCTGACTGGTTTAGGAGCTAGTTCTGACGACGGGCGGACGGACAAGCGAAAGTTTTGTGGTCAAAACGATTTCTTGGTATCGAGATATATGATCTTTCAATACATTAATCATGAACATTTTAGAAGTTGGAGAAGTGTACTTAATGACTACATAACTTTTGCAAATACTAGTTAATTTTCATTCATCAAGAAGTACTGTAATATTATGATAGTCTCAAGAGTTTGTAGAAACTTACATCATCCTTCATTGGCACCTTTGGGGGATGGAACTCTTCATGGTAAGACCTTCCGCTGGGTGGATGAATTAATCTTCCTGTAATGCGACGAACCAAAAATGAATCGTCTATGTGGAATTCCACCACAGCATCAAGTGCAGAGTTTCTTTTGTCTAGCAGCTTATCTAGCTGAAACAAAATAATTTCTCTGTAAATAAAACACCAAAGAAACACAGTAAAATATTTTGGGGTTTTCCAATTATTAAATGTAATGAATTTATTGGCAAAGCAACTGTAGGAAGGTACACAAATGAGAACTAATTATACCTCCACTCAACATCTATCAATAGGAATCTGAACCCACTTACACATTTTCATAACAAAAACTATATCTGGTCAAGTCATCTTGACATTGAGCTTTGACCCATCACCTTTGCTCACACAGATAACATTAACTTCCACGGCAGTGTATTACAATATTTGATCCCATTAAACAAGTTTCACGCATAAAACTTGGTGCAACTTACTTTTTCTGCTTGAGGAATTGTCCTAGGAAATCCATCAAGAAGAAAGCCATTTTTACATTCTGGTTTGTCAAGGTTAGAATCTATCATATTCACCACAAGCTCATCACTTACTAACTTCCCTAAAACAAAAAGATGTCAGATACAAAAACTGAAGCTAAAAAATAAGACTTGTTTAAGCAATTACCAAAATACTCAAACAAAATACACTCCTTGTGATTTCTAAATAAAAAGCTTAAAAAATATTATTGGTGCAAAAGGTACAGTGCATCAGTTTGTCTGTTCCAAATACAAAAAAGAAACAAATACTACTTAAAAAGTACAGAAAAAATACTGATACTTTATTTTTACTGTGCAACAATTATTGGTTTCTTTTCAAAATTTGATTAAAAGGAACAATACAATACAAGAGGGGTCAATTGTATCACCTGTGTATCCCTTAGTTCCATAATAGGTACTAATACTTATCCTACAACATAATATACATTTCCTACTTATAAACAGTACTTGTATGATTTAATTTAAAGTTTAAATGATCTAATGAAGAGTTTTTAACACTTTCTCTATCAAAACAGAGCTCAATGAAGTAAGAAATAATTTGCAATCTTTTTGAGAATTTACATACATCATGAAAATATCAAAATAAAATAGTTGCTTTGCAGCAAATTACAAGATACTATGGAAGGCAAAGATAGACACCTGTTTGCACCCACTCGGTCATATATGGCAACAAGAGCCTCCCAATAGGAAGTGAAATAGTTTTCTATTACTAACCTAGGAGGCGATCACTAACACGTGTTATATATAGACCTAATGGGAGTAATATATTTAGGGCACCCACCTTCATCCATAACCTTCTTTAACTGTTGCCCCAACTTCGATCCTGAGCCAATTTCTGCCCGTAACATGTCTCCAGTTGACAGATGACATACACAAAATTTTTTCTTCAATAGCGGCGCCTGGAAAAGAATTACGTGTCATTGTTACGTAAAGACTAAAGGCAACGACAAGATTGAAGCAAAGAAAGACTCCTACCTGAGTTCCTTTTCCGGAACCCGGCGGGCCAAGCAACACCGCTCTAATTCCCACTGGTTGAGCATCCTTTTCTGGAGCTTCCTTAGGAACAACAGCTTGCTGAGGCGGCATTCTCTTATATCCTGCACGAAGTCACCCGCACACAGCACCAGTTCCTTGACGTGAGCGGGCGAGAGTGGGCCAGGGTCGGAGTAGGCAGAACAGGGCAGGCCTGGGGCAGGCACGAAGGCTGTCGAGAGGAGGGGAGGGGGCTTGAGATCTTGAGAACGCACGGATTCATGATGAAGATTCGTTTGTGAACGAGTGTTGCATTGCCGCCAACGCTCGGGATTTTTTGTTCGCGGTTTTTATAAATTGTGTTCTCGCACGGTGTAATTTCTTACATCGCGACCGTGACTTTCTTATTACAACGAGTTTACTCCAAAATAGCGAGATTGATGAACATAAGCGACTAATGAGAGACGAAAGGAGTGCACGAGTTTACGTACTTAGAATGACAACAGGAAATTATGTGTTGGACTGGTTTAAAGATGTTTTATATTAATCGCGTAGGCTGAAGGGAATAGTGTTATCACCCAAACTCGACACGCTCAGCGACAAAAAATGTATTTTGGCGTAAACCGCGCTGAAATTTACGCGTTATGCAAAGATGTTTAATGTAAATCGCACACACTGCCTAGGCCGGAACCTCATTCGCGTTGCGAAGCGTCAAAATGTGAAGTTAAAAGTATTTACCAAAAGAGTACTTTAGCATAAAATGAGTTGGACAGAGTGAAGGGTGTCTATGTTAATCACGTAGACTAAAGGTCAGAGCCCGGCCATGTCTTTGGACATGCTTAACGAAGCATCACTGTCAACAATGTAGAATACACTACGCCACTACTACTACTACACTACAACGCTAGAATCTGAATCGTTCAGGCGATTTTCGGCAAAATTGATATTCCCTGATCGATCTGAACGAACTCGGGGCTTTGAAAGATTCAAATGGATATTTTGGTTTTTGAGGGTACTTTACAAGAGGCCTCAAAACAATGTTCAACATTTTCTCAAAAACTGCTCCAATTTTTCTGATTTAACTTTGTCCTTGAGTAGCGTAAAAGTTGTTTAAGAGAATGATATAAGTCTCATGTTCTTTGAAATCCTAGACTTTTCTAAAATTGCGAAAGTGTATTTTTTGGACAACTTTTTTCTTACAATTATTACATCGAAGATAAAGATTTTTTCCGTAATGAAATTGTTCTTTAAAGATAGAACTTGAAATAAGGCCATGAAAATGTGGGTATTTTTCGTGTAATGTTGCGCGAAATACAGGCAAGGTAAACATTTTTTCTCAAAAACCACTCAAAAGTTTTTCTATAAATTTTCTCTTTATATGTAATAAGGGACGGTAAAAAATATTGCGCTAGGCCCTTTTTCGGATATCTCTCCGTTCTTCCAAATTGCAAACTGTTAACATTTCACAACTACAAAATTAAAAATAGAGATTTTTGCCTAATACAAAGACTCTTTAAAAAACAGTTCTTTAAAAAAGAACGTCTACAACTTTTTGAAAAAGTGAATACTTTATGTGTAAATTGCGCCCTTTAATATGCAATTAAAATTAACAATATTTCATTTCCTCTATACAATTTTCTTGATAAAATTCAGGAGGAGCATGCTTGGAATGAAAATATTTTTCTGTCCAAACATAATAAAATCTACCCTACTTCACGAGAGAAAATTGATGTAAATATTCGCCTTAATGAAGTACATTGTAAGTCTTGTTTAATTTCTTCTGAGCGGTTTAAAAATATGTTTCAAGAAATACCCTACATTTGCACACGTATTTTATCATCTATAGGAAACACAAATTATGACAAGCTCTTTCGAATCTATTAACGCTCTCAAGAACGTAGATGTTATGAAAAGATAAAACATTTTATAGATAAATCTATATTTTAACGAAATATGCTTAATATGCGCATATAATTACACGAATATGCACTTAAAGGAAAAATCGGCCAAATTGCACGAACATACGTAGCGTATTAACCTATAAGAATATTATTCTCGCTTATTAATCTCGTATTAATCTGTACAGCATCATATTTTAGCCAAATATCACGAAATTTCACTGGAGCAACGCACAAAAATGTGTAAAATCGTTGAAATCCGCACCCTAATAATTGAGCTCCCGTGTTCGCGATATTTAAGAACTTGCGGGTTCGCCCCACACGGGGGACGGTGATGTGACCCCGACGCCCAATCACGCAGCTCGCGCGGCGCACTGACGAACGCGCCCCTAACGTTCGCACGCGAGTGTCAGGTGGTGCTGCTCCCTGGCGGCGATTCCTCGTGACTGGCGCGGGCTGCAGGGCTCCGTTGCATTCCAGCGATGACGTCACGGCTGCAGCCGTGCATCAAAGATAAATTATCTTTCAGTGCTGTTACAATGCGGATTTAGAGAATTTATGATTTTAAATCAGCGAACACATGTCACGATTGCTCACTTGACGAAATGACGGAAATCCCCCCATAAATTTTGCAGTGACTATTAATTTCAAGTTGTCACGAGACTCAAGCAAAAATATTTTCGGATTGTCATTAAAACGAATAAAATCGTATTGCAGAATGGGCTTGAGTGTTGCCTGCGACATTTTACAAAATATGTAATATGACATTTGACGACAATATTTTGAATTTCCCTTTCCAAAATTCATGTCTGTATCAGTTCCTGGTATAGTACAATGTCTGATTTTTGAGTGGCGAGCAGTCTTGCTGTGGCGATGAAGTCTAGTTGTTAATATTTTTCAGCAGTAGCCTTCACAAGCCAAAGAAAGTGGTTGCCTTCTGATTCATGATCAACAAAGTAATGTCAAAGCTTTCTAACAAATTTTCGGTAACACACCTTACACATTTGCGAGGAATCTAAGTCAAGTTCTTGACAAACTGACACAGGTTATTGTTTGTACTGCAGCATTGTTCAATTTTGAACAAAATGAATTAAATAACTTCACATACAATTAGTAAAGTAGTAAAGTTTTGAAGCAGAATTGCAGCAGTATATTATAGAGTTATATTACGATAATAATTATTAAATTATGTCACAATAATGTATAAGAATCATTGTGAAAACTTAGAGGTTTAAATGAACTCAAAATTCCGCAGTTTTTAAAACGTTAAAATGACACTGTGATATATTCTTTTATTTTTTCACAAATTACACACACACATATATATATATATATATATATATATATATATATATATATATATATATATATATATATATATATATATATATATATATATTACGCCGTTAATTTTTACTACATGACCAGCGATTCGCATATTATTTCATGTGTGAGTAGAAGTGCTTCAAATGACTTTCAATGAAGGTCCTTGTAAACTCAAAATGTATCTGTGAAAAAGAGCGTCAAACTTCGCATTTGCAACAACGCCTAAAGATTTTCTCAAAAACGACTCCAAATTTTTCAACGAAATTTTCCATAGTTGTTACTCTTCTATAATATTCTTATAGTCATGCTTTAGCTCTATCATTAAGGAAACGAAAAATTGACAAAATTTAAAAATATACATATTTGTGGCGGCGATAGATTGCAAAGAGGAAGAGGTTGGGGCAAAACTGGAAAGCTAGTCCATACTAAAGAAATTAAAAAAACTAACTAGTACGAGAATGTTGGTGCAATTCTGTAGCACAGTAGTTTTAGTTGAAAGTTGAAATTTGGAAAAGTTTAAACTTCCTTTGGCCTTTTTTCTTCCTGCAACTACAATAATGAAAATATACATTTTACAACTTTAGAGGTTAATTGCTCACGTTCGAACATCCAATCGATATGGCACTTTTAGACCCGTCTTGTGGACATTAATTTCAATTGAAAAATATTTTTCTTAGGTGTATACCTGCGATTGAAGGACTAGTGGAAAATCTGACACCCTTGAAACTCTAACGCAAACATTTAGAGATGCAGAAATGGTAATCCATGGTCATAGTCGGAGATAAAAGAAATTCTATCATTGGTAAATAAAATTAGCTTTGAACTCGTAATCCAAGTGGGCATAAAAATGACACTTTGAAGACAATATGGCGGACAGTTCGAGACGCCGCGCCGAATCGGTATGCATGCAAACAATTCCTTCACATTTGGCAACGTTATGAACAATATTTGTACGAATTAGCCGTGTACTCATTACCCGTTTCCCTGTCTTTCATAACACTGGCTAGTTGATGTCGCGGATCCAGCAATTTGAAACTGAAATTTTAATTCTTGGGTATACTTTACATGACGCTCCTGCGACGTTTTCAAAATTTTTTTAAAAAAAAAGCTCCTAATTTTTTGATTAGAGTTTCTTGTTGAATAGTTCAAAAAACGTTTAAGAGAATGGTGCAGGTCTCATTTTCGTTGACATCTCCTATTTTTCGAAAAAAAAAAAAAACCTTTTTCTTTAACTTCAAAATTGTAAATAGAGATTCTTGTCTCAGAAAAAGTTTGTTGTAAAAAGATAGTTCTTCAAAAATATGTACAATTTCTGGGAAAAGGAGTAGTGTTAGAAGTTTTTTTGAGTGAAATTTACAACAACAACAAAACAACCCAAAAGCTGTTCTTTAAATTTTCTTCACTCGTGTAATAAGAGACGATAAAAATATGTTAGATAGTTCCATTTTCGGATATTGGTCCATTTTTTGAAAATAATAAAAAAAAATTAACGCAACAAAATTGAAGATGGAGATTTTTTGCCTGAGACAAAGTCTGTTGTACAAAAATAGTTCTTGAAAAAGATAATGTACAATTTTTTGGCATAGTTTTTGCGTAATTTGCAATTGAAATTTACAAAAAAAATCTCAAAAACCGCTCCAATTTTTTTCTCTAAATTTTTTCACATATGTATCAAGGAACGGTCAGAAATATGGCGCTAGTCTCACTTTCGGATATGGACGTCTTTTTCGAAAATTGTAAAAGACCTGTCAAAACTACAAAATTAAAGATAAAAGATTTTCCCCTCAGACAACGTCTGTTGTCCAAAATAAGCTCTTGAAAAAAGTAATGTAATTTTTGAAAAAAAAACAAACAAACAAAAACGCGTATTTCTACGTAATTTCTACCTGAAATTAATGAATTATATACATTTCACACCAACTACAGGCCACGCGAAAAATTGAATGAATGATATGAAAAATAATTAAGTTAATTTCAATTATAATTTCCTATTGAAAATGCCAATATTAATTCTATTTTTCCTTTCTCGCTCTCGAGAGATCATGGACCACTACCGAAAAATCATGGAAGTTTCTGTTTGTTGAAAAGCAATAGTGTTTATTGTATCTGAAGTATGGATGTTAGAAGCGGTGATGAGACGAAACGCTATTGGAGCTGTTATCTTACGACGAAAGGCGTTGTTCGAATGTTATTTTGATGTCAATTACATATATTCCAATTACTGTATTGATATTATTAGCCAAGCAAATGCACATAGTTTTGATAACGCTGCGCTGGCAACAGTGCGTTGCTCACTTCTTGGTTGAATTGGACATTTTCAAATAATGGCTGAGGTGTAGACTAAGGAGGTGTGCATTATTACTGTATGGTAAATATCATTACTCAGGACTATATATTATTACTCTATGACTGAAGTGTTAGCAGCATAGATAATGCAATATTTCTATATTACGTAGCTGTCCAATAACGGGAGACAGTGTGTGCTGTTGTAGCTCCACTAGTGTAATTAGAGGTTTTTAAAATTTAAATATTGAACGAATCAAACATCATTCAGTCATCTGTTTACGTACAAGTGCTGATAACCATTATCTCTGAGATTAACGCGCCTGACTAGAGAACATCAAAGGACATCATATCAGCTTTTAAGAAGGTGAGATTACGATAAGTCTACGGTTATTGTTCTTTTATGTGCAAATTGTACGAGCGAGAATATACCACCAGGCTGTTTTTATTTAAAGTATTCACTATTTATACAAAATGAAAAAAAAAAGAAAAGATTTTTACTTTGACGAAATAGTTGTATATTTTGTGACTCGACGATATGATATGAGCAATTTACAAAATTAAAAGGTTTGACTTCTAGGATGGGCGTTATTTAAAAAAGTGATATTACGGGTGGCGCCAACGTGCTTGATAGACGTGAAGTGGGTGTGTTCTATTTTTAATTTTAATTCATTTTCTGCATTTTCAGATTCGTTTTCTTTAGTTGTTACTGAAAGATTTCATGGAGTACTAAGCAGTGAAAAAGAAGAAATATAAATATTATTTCAAAAGGCAGCGTAATGGATAAACGAGTGCGATGAATAACGCCATTTAAGTGTCCCAAACTTATTGCTTTGTACTTTAATTGACATGTGTGTAAAGTTCTAAACCATTAGTGAAAGTATAGCGATTGCTGTGAAAACCACCCTCATTTAAACAGTTTTTTCTACAATGATATGATGGAATAATTTGAACATAGAGTGTAATGGGCACAGAAAAAAAGTAGTTAATTTTATGGTCTTTGCAATACATAAAGTATAGAATTATTTCATTTCAAATTAATGGCATTAATATGGGGGGTTACTTAGCACCTTACCAACGTGTTTGACGAACTACAACGTGCCGCCCAAAACCCAAACGTAATAGTCTCCACTGTGCCCCCTCCGGTTCAACAAACCAACTCCGTGCAGAGGAATAAGACACGAAAAAACCAATTAAAACTGAATTACATTGACACAAATGTTAAACTATTTGAGATAAACTTTCAGAAAATAATCTCTCAAAAAAATATTACATCCGGCATGTTCTTCACTTGAACATTGCCGAAAAACATGCACTCGGTACGGACCTTGCAAAACACATCCATTCACATCGTCAGCAGTGTTCTGCTCAAGACCCATTCCTAACCACATTTCCTAGTTCTCCATCCTCCGGACCTCCTTCAGATCCACTTATCTTATTTTCTGAATCCAATCCTTATACTTCCTTTCGCATTATTCATTCATCTCCTGTCGCCCCAAAAGCCAGCTACTGCTGGGACGCGGTACTTCTTTCGAGTACGCAGTCGGGGTAAAAAAGGGTTAAGATTCGCATAATGCGTATAAAGTTCAATCTTTTTTGAAAATAAAATTTAATTAATGCATCTTAATTATTACAGACTGTCCGAATATTCACATAGTAAAATCATTTTATATATTCGAAACG